GTATATTTATTTTTTTCTCGACAACCGTTTGATGAACAAGAAAAACTTAAAAGATCAATTTTGTTGAAAAAGGATGGCCAGTCAATAAAAAAATATATTTTCTTTAAAAAAGCAGTGGTGTACCATTTATGTTAAGCAGTTTTTTAATTTTTAACACCCTGTAGATCAGAAAGGAAGTACTTTAGACCCAATGGTTAGATAAAAATTGTTTTAAGAACACATGAGGAATCACACCATAATTTTTTTAGACTAATTCGAAAACACCCTGTATATTGTCAACTTGACAATGACTGCTGATAAATCAAAAAATACCTTTTCAGAGGAAAAAGCCTGATTTTCGCAGGAAAAATTTTGATTTTTATTGAATTTGGGCCTGCGTTTGCAAATACTGGTTTGTTTTTAATTTTCTATCTATCTAAATTTTAAATATCATAGTCAGAAATAGTTTTATTATTTATTAACTGTAAAAATGGTGTTTTCTTGTTGTGTTGCATCTTGCAAAGAAACTAACAAAACTGCAAAAATGTACGTGTTTCCAAAAGACGATAAGGTATGTATCTTAGATAAAAGAAAAATATATGGTATGTATTCGTTGTTTGATTCTTCTATAAATCTCGGTCTATTCATTAGACAGCGAGTCGACTTACGATCATTTACATGAAATTCTGTAAAATAAATAAAAAAATAAATTGTAAAATATATATATTCTTATGTTTTATTAAAGTTACTCTGATATACTAATATATCAGTGTAACTTTAAAAATAAATCCTTTGAATTCAAATATAAACATAAAAAACCTTTACAGCAGAAAAGGCGAAGGCGCTGGGTTAAACGTAGTCTCCACTAAAAACACGGAGGGGCGCTTTGACCCAAAATGTTACTATTAAGTTTCATATCTATCTTAATAGTAGATTATTTTCTTTTATCTATGTTTAAGACTGAGTCGACCTAGGTACCCAAACTACTTTTATTTTAATAAAAATTGTCGGCTGATGAAATGCCGGGTGTAGGATTCGAACACGGATTCGACGAGAGCTTGTACCTCTACGCCACCGGGCACCTATTGGCAATTATATTACATAAGAAACGAAAATAAAACTAGAAAAACCAAATATATCACATAATAAACAAAAATAAAACAACAAAAACAAAATATATCACTCAAGAAAAAATCAAAATAAATTAAGCCGCACGCTACTGACTCGAATCTGCCGTAACTGTGTGTTGTCGCTGAAAAAACTACGACACTGGTTACTTTCTGCTGATGGAAACGCAAATGGCGGCGTGCGCGAGGATATGCGCGTAGCGTTCCCGCCAAAGCGAGTTAGCCTGCCGTGTGATTTATATGCCGTGGTTATGCCTTACGGAACGTTTTCGATGGGCCACCCTGTATTACGAATTGCGAAGACTAAATGTTTTATCCTAATTAATAATTCTTTAACATTTTTTGTAGAATAGCCCAAAATTATACCATCATGTAAATTTTTATATGTTTATCATAATTTTAATAACACTTTAATTCATATTTTGCCGCCTTTAACAAATAATAACCTCCTGTTCCATAATTATAATTAATTTATTTTATTATCTACCGAGAAATGGTATAACATAACAGATCATTTTTCATTTAAAGAGTACACTTCCTAGATGACCATTTTTTTGCCTTGAATAAATTCCGTTTAAATTTCGAGATTTGACTTGATTATGTATGGTAGCATTTACTAAAACATCAATATTTTGTGGGATTATTTCCACAATAATTAGTTCCACCAAATTTTAAAATCGATGAAGACTATTTTTAAGCAATAACTTGCAGAATTAATAATAATCCTTCCTACAGGTGGCACAATACTGCGAGGAAGTCCAATATCGGTTGTTAACAAAGATATGAACAAAAGTCTAGTATAAAGGCTGTGACAAAGGCTGCATGGTTTATAAAGGCACAGATTAGGTATCCTATAAGTATACAGATAAAAATCTTGTCCCTAATTCGTGGTACGAAAAATTGTTTTTTATGACGATGTGCAAACAAGTCAAATTTCCTGTGCGCAAAAATAAACTCGCGTAAAATACATACAATAAACAGCGTAATAGAGAGATATCGCTAAACCGAATAGCGTGCATGGCTTAATAAGGCGTGCATGACGTTAATAAGGCCAGGTGTTATTTCCTTTACGTGAGGTGGTATTAACTCTCTTCATTTATAGTTATCGGATCGGAAAGAATTCTGATCGCGTCGCGTCCGCTATTTAAACTTAACCTAACTTTGAATTTAAAACTTTTAGTTTATACAAAATATCGCATTTAAAAAAAACATATAAGTTTTAGTCAATTTAAAAAAAGACAGATTCCAACTAAGAAATAGTTACGTCACCACATTCTACGTGAAAAACTGTACGGGAGACCGTTTTCACCTTTTCGATAAGGTATGATAAAAAGGGGATCGAAAAATGCAATAATTTCAGATTCGCCCTGTATTTTAGGAAGTAAGACAGCTAGGACATATCTGTATGTAGCATCTTTAGTTTCATAAAAAAGTAACTGCGTAATGTTAAAACCGCATCTTTGTATATCGACTCATACACGAGAAACCCTGCAAAACACACGAAAATGGGACACCCTGTACAGACGTACTGCCAAATCAAGAAATCAACTACGAATGAAATCCAAGATCGATTTATATATTTTATATATTTTAATATTTTTTTATGTTCGTGATAATGAGCTCTTTCACAAAATATAAAATACCCAATTCAAGGACAAAATCTGAAATAGAAGACTATTTTCAGTATATTTATCCAAAAAAAATAGTTCCAGAACATTGAATAATTTTTATAGGCCCTCAAAATTGCTTTAATTTGAAATAATTTTAAAGCGCCAATTGATGACGTATGAAAAATACGCCCAATCACATTGCAGAACCGTGCTCGTGCGCCAGCCAACAACTGGCAACATTGCGATTTGATTTGACCAGCACCACCTCAACTCAAGGCCAATCAACATGATATGGGCAAGGCAAATATGGCGGCGAAGGCAGCGCATTATTAAATTGTTTACCTTTAACCTGAAAAGCCGGTAGTGGTTTCTCGTTCCGATTGCATACCAGAAATAATCAATTATCTCTAGTTTGTTGTGCTTCTGCAACACGTTTGTTTAGTTCTTAGTGTTCAGTACATGGTGTGATCAGAAAATTGTGATAAAATAACAGTGTAATAAAAATCCAAACCAGACATTCCACATAGGGAACTTCAAACTTTTGTGCTTGTCGTACTCCTCTATTATTAATTATTTTAAGGTAAGAACTTGAAGTATTTATTAAGATATTACACCTAAATGAGTAAAAAGCCTTCGCCGCCAGTCTGCATAGTACTTTATAATGGTTACTTGCAATAATCAAAAGATAGGTTAAAGGGTAGGTATTAACATTTTATTGTAGCATGCCTTTTACATGCTCTGTTCCAAATTGTCACGGGAATTATAGAAGGGGTCCCAAGGTTTCTGCTTTTATATTCCCCAAAAATGACGAGCTTCGTAAAAAATGGTTGACAGCTATTAAAAGAGATAATTGCACTCCTACTAGTAGTTCTCGGGTAAGAAGTGCATTAAATATGCCTCAAAAAGGCCAAAGACCAAAGGCTCTGTTACCCTAGTGAGGATGTAGTTATGGCTACTGCTTCCACTTACCCCCCTATAAGTAAAGTATTGGAAGAAGAATCAAGCTTTTTACATCAAAAAGATCACAGAAAGATATTGACAACATTGACATTTGAAAATATAAATGGCCTGGATATAAGTCTTTTTTTAGGTCACAATTGCCCCTCACATACGTCAGAATTTATTATTAAATCCATCTTGTTCCGAATACAGAATATCCAAAATTTTATTGAAGAACTATGCAAAAAAAAGGAATGACGTCTTTACCACAAAGACAATGCCCTATGAAAAGAGATGCCCTATGTAAAGAAAACTAAGCTAAGCGTAAGTTTTACTCACGAACCCCCCAAAAGGTATTTAGTTTTTTTTTCTATATAAAATCTTGAAACACATATTATATTTTTTATTTATTCTCACCTATTATAGTTTAAATTTATTCCCATTTGTGTAATGATGCAAAACATAGAAAAAATATTCCATATTTTTTGACCCAAGCCAGTGTAGTTTATAATTCCAAGAGCATTTGCCAAGGCTTTTACTAAGACAAGTAACTTCCTATACTGTCCATAATAGTATATATTTATCAAACGTTCAGTAAATTCTAAACTATGTTAGGTAAGTGTTTGCAATTGAATATTTAGTTTATATTGCTATTTTCTGTCATATATTTCTGGTTATTTCTTTTTCCGATGATTTTGAACACCCTATATATGCCACCTTAAGTTTGAATATTTTAACACTACCTATTTTCTGAAAAAGCATACCTTTTTATAAAAAGTAACTAACTGATGTTTTCATAAAAGTAATAATACAAAAAATTCCATACTTATGTGGAGAACTTTAGACTCCCTGTATATTAAAAAATTAGTGAAATACGAGTACTTCCTAATCTAACCCGACATTTGTGTGAAAAATGTCTATTTGGAAATAAAACAGGTTTTAAAATACGCGCCAAGTAAAGCACTTCTATCTCCGCCATATTGGAAAAGGTTGAATGACCTTGTGTGGAGGTGGTAGTGGGTCAGCATGATGGCCCGGCCGCGGCCGTGTTGTCGCTTTAATAAAGTGCGGATTTTTATTCTGGGCTTTTTTGTTTTTATTTATTTTCTTAAGAACGACTTCAAATTTTTCGAAAGTGAGATAGCAGAAAATTCTAGAATTAATTGCTTTATTCAGTTATGCTAATTCCAAAATATAGTGAAAGAGCCCATTCCTTTGCTATTTCGTCCAAAAACCGACAATACGGGGAAGGAGCGTTTCGAGGAAGTAAACAGACGAAGGAGTGTTTTGACGAAGTCTATGGTACGGTTATTTGTTAAAACTTCTATAAAAAAAACCTCTTATATTTAACTTAGGTACGTAATAACTTTATTTTAGTATTTATAAGGTTTTTAAATAACTACAAATGTTATAGATATCTATAATGATATAGACACCGCGTGGATTGTGGCGTGGATAGAGAGAAGCTTGATTTCTAATGAGTGGGTAATATAACACTGTCTTTAGCTAGCTGTTCCATTTCTGCAATTGATTCATCCCAATTCTCCATACCCATTCTCGGAATTAGAACTTTTAACAAACCAAGAACAGTCTGAACATTTTTCTAAAACAAATAATTAATTAATATAATATCTATACAGGGTGCTACAAATTTGGGGTACGAGCATTGGTATCTCGGAAGCCGTAATAGACAGGAAGATGTTTAAATTGGGCAAAGTTGCTCCTTGGGATATTTACCAAGATACCATCAAAAAAGTTTTAAAAATTTAAAGGATTGCTGAGTTTTTTGGAAAAAAATGATTTTTTTGAAAATCAATTTTATTTTTTCCTGTCGTTACTTTTTAGAAAATCAAAAAACTAATTGAACATTCTCAGAGCCACTTTATTAGGGCTATCATTATAGTGAATGTCAGATACGAAGACCAACTTAATTTTTTTCAATACGGACCTGCATTTTTATTTCAGGTTTTGAAAGAACTCGATATCTTGAGTACAATAATATACCACACTTGATACTTTTTTTGTTTTGATACTTGTTTTTTCCGTTGAGAATTTTTGTTGAGAAAAGACCGAAATAGCGATAGACTTAACGCTTTTTTTAAATCAAACGTTTTAAACGTTTGACAGATACTTACTTGAAAAACTTTTAGCACAGATTTGTGAGATACTTTCTCACCAGTAGCTCTCCAACAATCCCAATCCGTTGCCATAGCAATTACCGCATACATGATTCCCAGTTCTTTTGCAAGCACCGCTTCTGGAACAGTCGTCATACCTACCAAATGGGCTCCGAGAGTCCTAAAAAATTATTAATTATAGTTCTCATGTAATATAATTTTTGTCATACGCTCCCAAAAACAGCTATTTTACGGACTCATTTCAGTCCGTAAAATGTTTCTTTTTCGGCCTAGGCCGTAAAGGTCGTCATGGCAACCTTTATGGACTAAAATGTCTAAATTCGTTATTTGGTTGTTTTATTTTGTCATTCGAAATTTGTCACAAAATCACATAAAATTATACATATATTTATAATTAAATTATTAAATACTAACAATATCAAAAGCTAAGTTATTTGTTTAAAGTAAGTACCTAGGTACCTATTTAAAAGAGGCTTTTAAATTAAAATATTCTTAAATTACAGTCACAAACATTCAAACCATCGTCAATTTGGTCGAAATATTCCATGCTGAGAGCAGTGTTAAGTGTTAAAGAAGATATTTATATTGACAAATTTCCAAAACTTTTGCTTTTTTGAAGAGGAATTCGGTTGGTTACGAGCCTAAAAAGTCTAAGGTTTTGTCCATAAAAGAGATCGGTGATTTTTTGGCCACGGCTAGTGATGAAACTTATTTACTTACTAAGGTAAGTTTGCGATAATGATTTTTAAAATATATAGATGGTTTCTTATTCCATTGTATTTGATTTTTAAATTATTAAATACTAACAATATCAAAAGCTAAGTTATTTGGAAAAATAAAAATGAAATGAACAATTTTGTGCATTTTGAAAACTTGCATCTGCAATCGAAACGACTCCTCCATTGGCAGGTAAATTTACTTTCTGATGAGGTGGAGTAAATGCGAACGATGATGTACTTGGTAATACATCCGTGGAAGTGGTCGCGATTTTCTTTTCCCCCATTAGCAGTTTGCAAACTTTCTTCTTTTTCTCAATAGATTCTTCTATGTAACCTTCGGCCACTGTGGACGACCTAAATAATTATTGTTGTTTAGAACAAGATCGGAAAATATTAAAATTTTTACCTCCAACCTCCTAGGCGTTTCAGCGATGTAAAATCCACATCTGCATCTGCAGCAAGAGTAGCAGAACTACGTCGGAAACAATGACCTGTATATTCGTTTGGGTTCGACAACTTTAAAAATGCTGCTACAATCGATGGCATCTTCCCAAATGAATGAATGCCGACTCGTTGCACGGTGCATTTTCCTTTACGATAAGAGATGAAGACATAATCATGTGGTACATTTTTTGGCCTAAGACAAGCATATTTTCTATACAACTCAACTGGATTGACAACGTTCCCTTCGTTCACCACCGGAAACACTCTTTTGATATTAGTTTTTGTATCCGCAAGGGTAACTAAAAGGCAGCTGTTGTCTTTTTCTATGATGTCTTGCACTCGTAGAGAGTACAATTCTTCTCTTCTACATGCTCCACAAAGGCCAATGACAAGAGCTACCTAAAAATCAAATACAATGGAATAAGAAACCATCTATATATTTTAAAAATCATTATCGCAAACTTACCTTAGTAAGTAAATAAGTTTCATCACTAGCCGTGGCCAAAAATCACCGATCTCTTTTATGGACAAAACCTTAGACTTTTTAGGCTCGTAACCAACCGAATTCCTCTTCAAAAAAGCAATAAGTTTTGGAAATTTGTCAATATAAATATCTTCTTTAACACTTAACACTGCTCTCAGCATGGAATATTTCGACCAAATTGACGATGGTTTGAATGTTTGTGACTGTAATTTAAGAATATTTTAATTTAAAAGCCTCTTTTAAATAGGTACCTAGGTACTTACTTTTTCGTGGAAATAATTTAGCAATACATCTTCATTTACAACGAATACGCCATTTTTGTCTTTCCATTCATTAAAACATCATATTCTTTCTGGTAAATGGCACGAGACTTCACAGGAAGTAAATCCAACACGATTTCTTTGGCCTTATTAGCAATATGTTCGGGATTTTGGAACATTTTAAAATTGTTGATGAATTTGTGTGATTTTGTGACAAATTTCGAATGACATGTCAAAATGCGATGAAATAAACAAACTCGTTACTAAGATATGAATTTATAAGCCAACTTTTTCAAACATTATAATTTCAAATATGGAAAATTTGCAAATATGCGTTCTAAAAAACTGTAAAAAGCGTATGACAAAAAATAGTGTATGTAACACGTACCTAAATTATGTTTTTTAGGACTCATCTACTATTTCGGACTCGGCTAACGCCTCGTCCGCAAACAGTAATGATTCGTCCTAAAAAACATCATTTTAGGTACTAGTTACATAAATAGCTATTGTATCATATTTTTGTTTTATATTATCAAGTATCCTCGTTTTGGTATAAATTTATATACAGGGTATCCCATGTCTCACAATGTACCGTTTGTGTCCAGGAAGAGTTCATAGTTTCATAGTTGTCGATTTTCGAAAGAAATCAGTACATGCATATTATTTCGTATATTTTTCATATTATTGATTTTATGGAAAGCATTGTTCATTAAAATGTTGTATCCCATGTTATAGGACTTGTTTCTCTCTACAATTTTCTGTCTCACAATGTACCGTTTGTGTCCAGGAAGAGTTCATAGTTTCATAGTTGTGGATTATCGAAAGAAATCAGTACCAAATCAGTACATGCATATTATTTCGTTTTTATTTTATGGATTTTATGGAAAGCACTGTTCATTAAAATGTTGTATCCTATATTATAGGGCTTGTTTCTCTCTACAATTTTCTGCCTCACAATGTACCATTTGTGTCCAGGAAGAATTCATAGTTTCATAGTAGTCGATTTTCGAAAGAAATAGTACATGCATGTTATTTCGTATATTTTTCATTTTATTGATTTTATGGAAAGCACTGTTCATTAAAATGTTGTATCCTATGTTATAGGGCTTGTTTCTCTCTACAATTTTCTGTCTCACAATGTACCGTTTGTGTCCAGGAAGAGTTCATAGTTTCATAGTTGTCGATTTTCGAAAGAAATCAGTACATGCATATTATTTCGTATATTTTTCATTTTATTGGTTTTATGGAAAGCACTGTTCATTAAAATGTTGTATCCTATGTTATAGGGCTTGTTTCTCTCTACAATTTTCTGTCTCACAATGTACCGTTTGTGTCCAGGAAAAGTTCATAGTTTCATAGTAGTCGATTTTCGAAAGAAACCAGTACATGCATGTTATTTCGTATATTTTTCAGTTTATTGATTTTATGGAAAGCACTGTTCATTAAAATGTTGTATCCTATGTTATAGGGCTTGTTTCTCTCTACAATTTTCTGTCTCACAATGTACCGTTTGTGTCCAGGAAGAGTTCATAGTTTCATAGTTGTCGATTTTCGAAAGAAATCAGTACATGCATATTATTTCGTATATTTTTCATTTTATTGGTTTTATGGAAAGCACTGTTCATTAAAATGTTGTATCCTATGTTATAGGGTTTGTTTCTCTCTACAATTTTCTGTCTCACAATGTACCGTTTGTGTCTAGGAAGAGTTCATAGTTTCATAGTTGTCGATTTTCGAAAGAAATCAGTACATGCATATTATTTCGAATATTTTTCATTTTATTGGTTTTATGGAAAGCACTGTTCATTAAAATGTTGTATCCTATGTTATAGGGTTTGTTTCTCTCTACAATTTTCTGTCTCACAATGTACCGTTTGTGTCCAGGAAGAGTTCATAGTTTCATAGTTGTCGATTTTCGAAAGAAATCAGTACATGCATATTATTTCGAATATTTTTCATTTTATTGGTTTTATGGAAAGCGCTGTTCATTAAAATATTGTATCCTATGTTATAGGGTTTGCTTCTCTCTACAATTTTCTGTCTCACAATGTACCGTTTGTGTCCAGGAAGAGTTCATAGTTTCATAATTGTCGATTTTCGAAGGAAATCAGTACATGCATATTATTTCGTATATTTTTCATTTTATTGATTTTATGGAAAGCATCTATGTGGACATAGACCTACTACGTATTTTTGGAATCAAAATAATTTCATTGGATACAAATGATACAATTTATCCCTATACAAAAGTGCTTCGTTTGTTCGTTAGAGGGCATCAAACTTTCAAATATTTTAAGGACCATTATCCTGATTTGAATGAGATTTTGAGTGTCTATGTTTTGTTAAGTACTACTTTAACATTTGACTTTCAGAAAAATCAAAACAAAGTACGGGAAGGGTGAAAACTACCCCCACTCCTACATAAATTTTAGTATGAATATTTTCTCGAATAACTCCACCGACCACCCAATTTTTTCGTAGAATGGTCCTTATAATATTTACTACATTTTTTGTCTAACGCTCACACATCAAGCTATGGAGGGAAATAAAATCTATTATGCTCTAATAATATAGTTGACAAACATATGAAATTTTATGTTAGTATCACAAATTACATTTAACAATAAGTTTCTTTAAAAGCTACAAAAAATAATAGATTTTAAATTAATTAACGTTCGGGAGGGACTTTAGGGTTTATTTTGTATTGATGCCCTCTAACGGACAAACGAACCACTTTTGTATAAAGGTAGATTATATGCAATCAACTTATTTTGATTTAACAAATACGCACTTGTTCTATGTCCACGGAAAATTGTATAAATTATTTATACAATTATATTGTTGCGGACCGGTGTGGACTCGACCTAACCTGACAATATGGCCCGCCCTCGGATGACCTTAACATCGCATAGACACCGTAATGATTCATTCGAAGATTCGAGAAGTATCGAGTTCTACTGGAATGGAGTAGTACATACGAGAACAATCGAAACCTTCTCTATGCACCTAACGATCTATGGACTATTCTAGAGTTCTTTACCTGTCGGTATAAAAGGCGGCGGCTGTGGCCTAGAAAGAGCAGTTATAAATAGCCGAGAATTAAAAAATGAACATTTTTTGTATTTAAAGTATTTCAAAATTTTTAATGGTTTGGCAGATACACGCTGTATTATTTCACATGGCTCTCTCAATGGTAAAATACGAGAGAAAAATCATTGAGTGGCTTTGATAGAAATTTACTATGGAAAATGCTATATGAAATATAAAACCACGAATATCTGCGAAACCGTTAAAAATTTTGAAATACTCTAAATACAAAAAATGTTCATTTTTTAATTCTCTATCTATTGAAAAAATAATATACAGGGTGTTCCATTTAAAATAACGAAGAAACATTATTTTATATTTTAGAAAGTTTGGCGTCAAATTTTAAACATCCTGTATGATATTTCGGTTACCATATTTATAGCAAAGTAAGTACAGACCATCTAAAGTAAATATCTAATATAGTATTGATTTTAGAACAGTTCTTGTATTTTTAATAACTTTTTTAAGAAAGGTTGAAAAATATATATTTTTTATGTATTTATTAATATCTCTGAAACTATCGAGATATACTTACTCATATGTTAGGATCATGTAAAGTGATCTGAAAAGAGGCCAAAAATGCAATAATATACGGGGTGTTCCATTTAAAAAAAATTATCCCAATCCACTCACACTTTTTTGAGCCACCCTATAGAAGTTAAAATATATTCCAGGAATACGTCCTAGAGCATATCTCAGATATGCACTTAAACAAAATTCTTAGTGTTTTTATTCTAGGAGCTACAGATGCCCGACGCACTATTGCCGGACCCTGTATATTAGTATAGATTTATATTAATTGTATAACTCCCCGTATATTTTGTAGGGCTGCTTTGGAAAAATTAATTCTCCAAAAATGTTTTCTCAAAAACTATGCGACGTGGAGTTTTTTACAAGAGATAAAAAATGTAATAAATACTAGAGGGACCATTTTACGAAAAAACTCGATCGTCGGTTGAGTAGGAAAATATTTATACTAAAATTTATGTAGGGGTGGGGGTAGTTTTCACCCTTCCCGTACTTTTTTCTTGATTTTTGTGAAAGTCAAATATTCAAGCACTTAGCAAAACATAGACACCCAAAATCTCATTCAAGTCGGAATAACGGTCCTTAAAATATCTGAAAAAATGTGTTTATTTTTTTAAAGTTTGATGCCCTCTAGCGGACAAAGAACTTTTGTACAGAGGTAAATGGAGTTCAAAGAACTTATTTTGATTCCAAAAATACATAGTAGTTTTATGTCATAGTTTTGTGTCATAGTAGTAGTTCATTTTTTACGATAATAAGATGTCCCATTTAAAACATCTACTTACTGGTACATAAGACTTTCCATTTTACTAGAATATCTGGGTCCTTCAATCGCCACGATGCATCCAGTGTTTCGAATTTTGATTCCTGCTGCACAAGCGGCTTCTAAAATGATTTGTCGCACCAAAGGATGAAAGGCTGGTTCCATGGGTAAATGACAGACACCTGGTGGATGACCCGGTTCGCCATCGTAGAAAGTCTGCTTCCTATTTGTGGTTCGATCTAAAAAATAGCAAAAATACATGACACCATTAACTTCAGTAAGGTTTGTTTTGAAAGTTGAAGTCTACGAACTTGAGACAAACTCTGGGCCCGAATTCTGAAACTTCGACATAAAAACGTTACGCTTTCAAAGCGGAAAGCAAAAGTATTCGATTAGCAGAATGCCAAGCAGTCGATTTTGGTATTCTCGTTGCCGTGCGAATCGTTTTCTGGATACGCGTTGAACACATATTGACAGCATCGCAATTTCTCAGGTATCTAATAGTCAAATGTGGATAAAAACGAAAATGTTGAAGACACTTCTCAGCATTTTCGATGTTTTGAACAATATTTATAGCCAAACCAAACCAAGTCGTAAATTATCAATTACTTATTGAGGAATTTATAGAAGAAGAAGTATAGTTTTCACTAAAGAGCAAGAGAACTCACAAAGTCACAATTTTTTCTATTTTTACTGACAGTTCGACAAGCAAATCGATCCTTTAATGTAGCCGTTTTCGATTCGTTTAGCACATAAAACTCACAAAATCACAATTTTTCTATTTTTACTGACAGTTCGACAAACAAATCGATCCTTCAAGGTAGCCGTTTTCGATTCGCTTAGCGCAATCGCAGTAAAGACGCTAAGCGCGTCAGATGAGAATACCCAAATCGGTAGTTAAATGCGCGCTAAGTGAAAATTAACGTCATATACGCTGAGCGTCTAAGAGCGCTTAGCGTTTTACTAAGTTACAGAATTCGGGCTCTGGGCCCGTATTCTGTAACTTCGACCTAAAAACGTTACGCTTTCAAAGCGGTGAGCGCAAGTATTCGATCAGCGAAACGCAAAGCAGTCGATTTTGGTATTCTCGTTGCCATGCGAATCGTGTTCTGGATAAGCGTTGAGCACATATTGGCAAAATCACAATTTCTAATGTAGGTAATAGTCAAAAGTTGATAACTGACGGATGTAATAATGAAAAATCGTACTTGCTACTAAATCATTAATGTTTGATTTTGCGAGAGTGTCATTTGCCATTATTAATTGTATTGATTTTTCCACTGTTATAACAGTGCGTAAACATTTGAGATGTTTATACGCTGCTGTGAATGAAGACTACGTTTCTCACGCTAGGAAAAAACGGTGTATTCCAGGTTGCACACAAGCAGAGAGAGATGACCGATTCTGCATCCTCCTCCCGGTGATGGAGGGTAGAGGAGGGAGTGACGTAGGTGGAGGACAGAGTGACTTCAGCACAGACGTTAGGGTGGAGGAGGGAGTGACGTCATCTGTCAAACCTGTCTTACATCACCTGTCACCTATTAGGATTTAAACCAGTACCTTTAGCAAATAATGATACTTCTAGGTAAATTACGATTACCTGCTTGTAACGTGGCTATAAAATTTAAGAAAAACAATGAAAGGCCGAAATCAGAGTAGTACTCATTTTTCCTTAATACTTACCAATGAAGCCATCTGCAACACTCAAGGTTCCTGGGGGAAAGTCTTCTTGCAAGGAACCACAGGCATTCGTTGCAATTATATGGGTGCAACCTTCTTCTTTCAAAGCCCATATGTTTGCTCTATAGTTAACATTACCTTAAATATAAAGTAAATATCAATTGAAAAGTACAAGAATCTATCAAAATAATTCCGTACATCATCTTCAAAATAAATAATAATCTACAAAAAATATTCAACACCTAAAGTAACTGGCAATTCAGAATAATTCTGAATTAAGTAGCTGAGGATTTGAACCTTTATAACGAATTTTAGACAATATTGCCAAATATTAGAAGCAGAAGTGCATCCAGAACAGAAACATAAACTTAAAAACCATAAATAAATTAAATAACAAATAAAAATTGATATACCAGGCATCTTATCGTGTTTTCTGCCATGCCTAGCCAACAAAACGCAAGGCACTCCTTCAATGTCCCCCACTATCATAACATCAGATGGTTCCCCATAAATCGTAGTTACTTTTTTTTCTTGTCGATTTTTTAAAATGTTGGGATCGTCTAATCCAGATCCACCTATAATTCCAATTTTAATGGGCCTCATTTGTAGTTATTTTTTTATGTAATATTCACAGAAAATTTGTAGCGTGACATTCAAAAAAATTTTGGTGACAGTAAAATAATACGCAGATATGTCTACTTTGTTTTTTCTTAGATCAATTATACTTACGTGGATACGTGAATAACTATGGAAATATATAAGATCTAAGGTAGCACATGGGTAGCACCGGTAGCACCCCATTTTATTATTAAAAAATATTCATATTATATCACGAGACCTATAAATTTAATCGATTAAACTATTCAAATATATTTTGAAACTATTTTCTGCAAAAAAATATTTGGGTAGTTTAATCAATTAAATTTATAGGTTGAGTGATATACGGCTAGATCATTTCCTGAATGACTGAAATGAAGCTAATGACTTAGGATGAGGCAAATAACGATAAGAATTTTATTAACTATAAAATTTAACATTTTCGGACAACCATTACTAAACCCTGAATTAATTTTCACTAGCGGTATATAAAATTTAAAGACGTTTCAAAATGACGTCTCGTAAGTAATATTAAATTTGTGCTTCTCCTACCTTGGTTACGCATCCCAACAATGCATCGAGGACCGTTTCGCACAGAGAGAACACTAATAACTAAAGTGAGAGAGACCGATCAACGTTAATTTTTAAAGACTGTGTTAGTGGCGCGGCCTTTGGCGTCTAACCCGAACTATGAGCGCATTATCGATATAGTAGGTTGCATTCATACCTATATACTGGCGCCAAAAATTTAAAATTTGTATATTTGAACCGAATCTTAATCTTTCAAGTTTATAATAAGAAACCTTCGTAGTTTTTTTAGATTATTTTGTTGACAACAAAAGTTTATTATTAGACTTTAAAGCATTAAAACTTATAAATAAAATACTGTGTAGAAACATAACAATTTATTTAACTCCATACTCCTTGCCATACTTCAACTCAAGGCTGCAATCTTCAGTATCTTTTTTATCTAACTTGGTTGGGAGTGAACAGGGAAGCACGGTTGGGAGCTCGCACAGAGTATCAGTAGGTATCCCGTAGGTATTCAATGTTTCTGATAGTCTTTATTCTATAACAAGAACCCCTCCCTTGAAGAAAATAATTTGTATTACTGGAAATAATATCAGGAAGTTGTCTCTGACCAGGTATAATACCTAGTCGTTCCATAGGTATCAGAAAAGAATGTGATGTTTTAAATTAAAAAAATTAAATTAGCAATGTACGATTATTATGTGCACTCACTATTACTATTAGGTATGTTAAAATAATTACCGAGATAAAACTTACCTTTAAATGAAACGTTTTGTCTGGGTCTCAACCACAAAACAAAAATTACAAAAATGCCGAATAATCGTGGAATCTGAAATAATCAATAATGACAATAATCTTCTCTTCTGACAAGCTAAAAGAACAGGCTCATTCAGTTAAAAACAATTTATTACTCCGATTTGCTCCGATTATCAACAGATTTTAGTTATCTCCTTCTAAACCTAAGAAATAGAAAAAGCTACTGACAATCTAATTAATCCTGTCAAATGTTTAACTTGCAAAGTTGAAAACTTCCTTTTTTGACCGCCTAAACGCTATGCGCGTCTGGGATGCGCGGTGACAAAATAAACTTGTCTACGAAATGCCCTATTCCACAAGCCCTCTCACTTTAGTTACTAGTTTCTCTCTGGTTTCGCGTGTCAACATATCAAATTCTGACGTATTTGACAAAAAGAAAACCCAAAAGGAACCCGAAAAAATAATCGCGATTAAACTGATCTTGGGATTTAATCACTTATCTAAACAAAATTTATTCGAAAAATTAGATTAGCTGATTGGTCCATTTCACGATGAGGGAAATAATCAATATAAAACTCGTATGAATGCCACTGATTAAAATAAATAAAATATACGTCAAAGGCATTTTGATGCATAGAAAACGTGTATCAAATTTCATAAGTTAGATATTTTTAAAAAATAAAAATTTTACCCACCCTGTATCTCAAACGTTAAGATGGGTTAGGATCAGGTACAGTTCATACTATGGAGTGTAGAGATAAGGAGAAACAACTCCGTGCATTCAAAAAATGGTCAAAAAAAGGAAAGATGGCGTCGCTGTAGCAAAAACCTAAAATTTAAGACATGCGCCGAACATTTTTAGAATTATTCTTCCCATTTTGTCACCATGCACTTTTTCAATAAAAGTCCCATAAGAGTTGTTTCTCCTTACCTCTACACTCCATAGTTCATTTCATACCAAATAAACTTTTAGTCACGTGATTAAGCTTGACCGGCACAGCGTTGCCCACTTTTATACAGGGTGAGTCTTAAATAAGTGCAGATATGTTTGGGGGTCATATATTTCGACCCCAGAAACAATGTCTATGAGGTTATAAATATATAAGTTGATTCTAGATATAAATACACACACCGGAAAAATCTAGGGATATCATTTTATTAAAGTTAAAAATAAATGTTTTGAATAAACAACCACATATTTGTAGGCCGATTCTTTCTACTTCGATTGAAACGAAGTAGTCACACTAGTTATTTCTAAATTTGGGATATTTGCAGAAGTGTTTGTGCATTTTTTGTCAAATGTATAAAAAGCACCTAGGAATTGTTCGAATTTAACCTGTACTGGCTATGTTTTTATGATAACTGGCCAGAATTCATTCAAATAACTCTTAGTATTAAACGACATTATGGAGCGTAGACATCTTAACAGAGACGAAATGCTAAGGGCCATGGGTATGCTCGAAGCTGGAATGCGCCAAATCGAGGTAGCTAGAGCATTAAATACAACGCAAAGTGCGCATATAACATATCGCGATTAAGTGCACGCTACCGTGAAAGTGGTGATGTTGCTGAAAGGCACACAGGGCGACATCGCATTACTACCCCTCAGCAAGATCATTTTCTACAATTAAATGCTCGACGCCGACCTACTCTTACAGCACCAGAGCTTAGTATAATTCTCCAGGAAACACATAATGTAACCGTTAGTCCTGACACTGTTCGCAATAGATTAAGGGAGGTCAACTTAAGAAGCAGACGCCCCTGGAGAGCTCAACCCTCAAAGAGAGGAAATCGGGAGGTACGATATTTGTGGGCTCAGGATCATGTTCAGTGGTCGAATGAACAATGGGCCAATGTTCTCTTCACGGATGAGTCACGCTTTGGAATTCATCCGGATTCGAGAAGGCTTAGGGTATGGAGAGAACCGGGAAATCTTATTCGGTTGGATCATGTTCAGGAAGTGCACCCTTATCAAGGTGGAACAGTTATGGTCTGGGGAGGAATCCAGTTAGGCCGAAAAACCGATCTCGTTTTTCTTGAAAGGTTTCTAACAGGAATCACATATCGTGATTTAATTCTTGAGCCTGTCGTGTTACCATATGCCAATGATTTTGGGAGAAACTTCATTCTCATGCATGACAATGCACGGTCTCATACAGCCAGAGTGGTAAGTGAGTTTATCAATGCTCATCAATTAAACATCTTACCCTGGCCGGCACAATCTCCTGACCTCAACCCCATCGAGCACGTATGGGACGCGGTCCAAAGAAGAATTTTGAGAATGGGTACGCCTCGTGAAAATCGTAGGGATCTGGTTCGGGCCGTGAATGCAGCGTGGCAGGCTGTACCTCAAGTAGAGATCGACAACCTGATCAGGAGCATGGAGAGACGATGTAGGGCTGTAATGAACAGTAGAGGAGGCCATACCCTTTATTAAGTAAAAATGGTTTTACCTTTTTTTTTAATTCACAGTTTAGAATTAAAAAAAATGTGTGTATTTTTTTGAGTTTAATAAAAATCAAGGTAAATTTGAAAAATTCGGTAAATTTCGCATTTTTATTTCCAATACGTCCTGTAAACTATTTGTTTATTTTAATTTTATTATATCAGAAATGCAAATAATAAAATTACTGACGATGGCTGAATAAAACTGTAATATCCCTAGACTTTTCCGGTGTGTGTATATAAACTGTTATTATTTACATCAATAAAACTCACATTCCTAACAACGCTTGACAATGGCAGGAAATAAATAAATAAATGTGGCAACTTGACATTTTTTACAGCAGGGCTACCACCTGAATCCCCAGCGCGAAATTTAAATTCCAGTTAGTCAGCACGGCGCCGAATATGTCCATGGTTGGGAACAATGAATTTAAAAATCGCGTCCTCGATTACGTAACTAAAACTTTAATTGATATGAAATAAACCTAACCAGTACATTCATATGGAATTTTCTATTTGTATAATTTTCAAAAAAAAATATTTTTCAACAAACAATAATACGAAAAAACAAATATACCTATCCTAAATGGTCAAACATTGTAATGTCAGTTGCTAATTAAAATGATATAATTTTTGTCCAAGTAATTAAGTAATCTGATAGTTAATTACTAAATGTAAGTCGACTGAATTTCTTAAGCTGCGATTTCCTATAGATCAAAGGTTTATAAATACAACAGATCTAGAAAATAGATTTGTTGAAAACGCAAGGTCTTTATTGTGAATGAGGTACATATTTTTCTAAATATGTTAAAAATCGTTTAAGGAGATCAACAAGGTGAGTCGGACAATTATTTTGCCCCTTGTTTTAAAAGTATTAAATAATATAATAACCAATCAGGTACAAGAATTGAAGAATACCGGGTGCTTCTCAAAAGCAGGGCCGGCGGAAGGAAAATATTGAGACCGGGCGAGTACCCTATCTGGCGCCCCCCCACCCCTCCTTAACAGTTATTATAACTCTCTTTTTCCTTCAGTCCTATACTTTAACTACAAACTAAGCATATTTATGCTACTTTAACAATAAATTTTCACTTAAAGATACTTCAAAATTCTTCTCTTCGTTCAATCTTAGTCTGCGATTGTTGTTTTTCTATCCCGGTCTCGAAAATGACTCACTCCTATAATTTTTTTATTCTTTTAGATAAAAAAACGAGTTTTGTTATGTTAGTATATGACCATATATTAGGTTTGATTGACGTATTCAATGGTTTTTAGTCACTTCCTGTTTGACAGGAAATGACTAAAACTTTTGATTTTTAAGTACACCCTCGGTATATTTCCAACTTTATTCCAAAAGAAAATGACATTCTGATTAGAATGGCATA